AAAAAAAAGTAAACAAACAAAAATCAAAGTGTGTGTGTATATATATACAAAGGAAAAAGAAAAAGAAAAAAAGACAAAGAAAAATCAGGTGAGAAAAATGTGAAGTGAGAAAATGTTTAGTGATGATCATCCTTAACGCATTGCCCTAAAGTATCAAGCGATTATCCCTTTTTAATATGGAAGAATGGTTGGACATAAAGTTGTTTCACTGATACTCTTCCTAGCAGGTAAGATTACAAAAGATTAGATAAATGAATTATTAAACAGACACTATTACCTGTACCTTTAACGATCAATGTAATTATCATATACACATATACCTTTTTATACAAGAAATATGATAGAACGAATAAGATAATGAAAGACTGAGCAAGATAAATGGATGCATGCATTCACCAATAAAGCGTCTCTCACTCATCCTACATATGTGTATGTATGATCAGCCTGAGTGCTCGATCGTTACAATTTCAGGGTCGCGTTATGCAAATCCGGACTATTCTATGTCTCTACCAATATACTTACATTTTTATTGAAATACATACATATATATACATATATATATGTGTGTGTTATAACAGCAACATGATTATTAAATGACACGAGGAATTATTTTGACAACTCTCCCATTTTTTGACGTTTCAAAACCAACTTTCATCGTTTTCACTTTTTGTTTATTAATATTTTGATAATAGAGAGATACTTATGTCAAGTTTTATTCGTAAATCCGGACTATTCTATGTCTTTACCAATATACTTACATTTTTATTGAAATACATACATATATGTATGTATATGTGTGTGTGTTATAACAGCAACATGATTTTTAAATGACACGAGGAATTATTTTGACAACTCTCCCATTTTTTGACGTTTCAAAACCAACTTTCATCGTTTTCACTTTTTCTTTGTTAATATTTTGATAACAGAGAGATACTTATGTCAAGTTTTATTCTAATCTTGTTTTTTTTTTGTTTGTTTGTCTTTTCTATCTGTGTACAGTTTTGTTTTTATTATGGTATAGATATAAAAATATTTTTTTTTATTGTTAACAAACAAACGTCATAGAAAAATTTGCAACTTTTCTTTTTGAAAAGTATTTTTATGATAAAGTACTCAAGAAACATATGATAACTTGTTTATTATTATTATTATTATTATTATTATTGAATTTCATATTATTCTATAATTTATTTCATTCCTATTTTTAAAAATGAAAATTACAATATGTACATAAGTTGTACACTGTTGAAAATATATAATTATTAAAAAAAAAAAAAAAAATTTTTTTAAAAAGGCAAAAAAGTAAATAAATTGTATATATATATTTTTTTTTTTTTAGGATGGCAGGGAGTAGCAACTTTAATACAAGTACGCCATGTAGCAGTAGATGTAGGTCAAGCTCTTATATTAGCTTGTGCAGAAGAAGATGCTGCTGCTCTTCCACATACAGATTCTCCCGGAGTAATGTGGATAAGAGAAGGTCGTGAAGATGGGCAGATTAAACGGTTAAAAGTTGAGTCTAATGGCATGCTAGAACTTGTAAATGTTAGTACAGACGATGCAGGTAATTACTCTTGTACCTTGGACGACGACTTGGACGCTGTTAAATCCAGAATAAATATAGAAGTTAGAAGTAAGTTGATTTCTTTTTGTTTTGTTTTTGTTTTGTTTTTGTTTTTGTTTTTTCTCTATTGTTTTCAAAACCATTGACAAATGTAATTTGATATCGAATGAAATAATAAATGAATGATTTTATTTTAGCACCGCCACCAGCTTTGCGAAATGTTTGGGTAAAGCCATCGACAATATTGGCTAATATTCTTTGGGAAGTCGGTGGTACTGGTGGATATCCTATCATAGATTTTACTGCCGAATATCGTCTAAAAGCAAACGATGGTGAAAAACCGGAACAATGGAAGCCAATTATACCAACGCACATTCCACCCAATTCTGTAATATTTTTGTCATTTCTTTTTTTGTAATACTTTAAAGTATCATCGTTGAATATCATTTATTTCAATCTTATTGTTTTGTTTTGTTTTGTTTTTTTTTTGATAATATAGAGACAAATTGACGTGTACCATTTGATGCCAAACACGACTTATTCCTTTCGAGTGTGGGCTACCAATCAGTTGGGCAGAGGAGAAATAGTTGAAGTTGAAAATCATACACATCATAGTGTGGAAGAATTGGGTAAGCACTTTTTTTATTATTTACTAGTATCTATTAATAAGAATTTCGTTTTCTTTTAAACAAATGCTACTGTATATATATATATATATATATGTACATACATATTATGTATAGAAATTAATTCAATGCCATAAATAAGTAATATAGTATTTATTAAAAAAAATAGAAACAGAACAGCGAATTAATTTCTACACCTAATAAATAATACATTTAGTATTATATTCTTCCATATAAATATAAATTATTGTTTTAGAACTTGCAAGACATTTTTTAGCGGGTGTAGAAGATTTTGACACCCGTATTTGGGTTGCAGCAGTAGGCATTGTTATGGGAACACTTTTGATTCTTGGTATGGGTACATGTTACCTCCTCTATCGTGAGTGCAAGGCACCCTGTAAGCATCTCCTAATAACTGTATATAAAGCTTTTGCTTCTACTCTATCTCTTCTTCTATGCTGCTTTTTCTGCTATCAAACTAAAAATCTTGTTAAATTTCATATTTAATTGTAACTGTTCATTCTATACAATTATATCCGAATGTTTCAATTTTCAATCGTCCTTTGTTTTTTTTTTTTTTAAATTCTTGATCATTAACACTTTAAACTAATTGTGAGAGAAAAGAAAAACAAATATAACAGCAGCACAAATCATTAAACTTATCTATGGCCCTAATCTCTAGCTTTCTTTTAAATCAGCTACTTTCATCTCTCTCTCTCTCTCTCTCTTTCTTTCTCTCTCTGTCTCTTTCTCTCTCTGTCTCTCTCTCTCTCTCTCTCAATTTCAATTTCAACTTAATTCTATTTTTAATATTACAATGCCAATTATACTATTCACTAATACTTCCCTTACTGCAAGCGCTCTGCAAATTTTCTATTATTAATTAATTAATTAATTAATTAATTAATTATATTAAAAAAAAAAAAAAAAAAAACTTTCTAATATTTAAAATAATTTCATTGTAACACTTTTTTTCTAACTTTTGCACACATTTTATAATCTATGGTATTAAGGTAACTCTATGAAATCTTTCTCTTCAGACAGTTTGCCTTTCTAAATAGAGCACCACTAATAGCATTTCTAGGAATGATACGTACTACGATCCTTTCAATTGTTTCCTTTAATCGCCAACCTTATTAATTTAATTTAATTTAATTTAATTTATCATAAAATATAGACTGTATATTTAAATAAACTGTTAAATATAACTTGAAAAAAAAAAAAACAAAAAATAATAAAACCCCCCCGGAAAGAGTATTATTAATAAACGTGTATTAACATTAGTAATTGTAAGTATGTTTTAATAAGTGTTGGTGGTTGATATTTAAAAATTATGGTTACGTAGAAATGATAGGTGTAATGAATAGTAAATACCATGATAGAGGTAGAGCATTGTGGCCTAGATAATAAATGCGTTATATATTAGAATATATTATAATATATTTGATTATATGAGAAAAAAAAAAAGGTAGAATAAAAGTAGCAAAGTTTATTTGTCAGGTGAATAATTAATTAAATAATATTAATTAGTGTATGTTTATTTAGTTACAAAACAAACACACACACACACACACAATGTATTTGATTAGAAGCACTGTTGTTATAACACCTGACAAATAGTTAAAAAAAAAAAGGGACAGGGTAGAAGCTAATATAATCAATGGCCTAGACCAATGAAAATTAATCTCCGTTCCGAAATTGCAGCGCAGCTGGAGGAGCAGGAAGTGATTGAACTTGTTCCAAATATTATTTTGAATCCTGGATTTTTTGACGAAAGGACAGAACACATTCCGCAAGATGAAAATTTTAACAATCAAACTACAACACGCCTAAATAATAACAACGTAGTGCAGCCAAGGCGACTTTAGCAATCTCACATTGAAAAATTAGATTTTTGCATGGAGGATTTTTGTTTGATTCAATGAATTGGGGGTAAGAGAAAGCAAGCAAGCAAGCAAGCAAGCTGTGCATGATTTAAATATCATATATATATATATATATATATATATGTGTGTATAGGTTGTATTTCAAATAGCCTCAACGTGATTATTATTATAAAAGTGCAACAAACAAATGCAGGGCAACTAAAAAACCAAAAAAAAAAACCAAAAACGAAAAAAAAAACATGAAAAAGAGAACAAGAAAATTGGAATCATATTTGTATTAACATAGATGTCCTCTAAGTATGTATCAATGCTTGAGTGCATCCAGATAAAACGACATTTTTTTAGACACAATTACAATGTGTTAAGTGTTCAAAGCAAAAGTAGCAGACTCTGCTAGGACTTTGTTAAATGGCAAAGTAGATTTTTGAACAAGTTTTTTTGTCATTCAAACTCTCTCGCTAATTTCTTGTTGCTCGTTAAACGGAGCTAAAAAAAAAAAAAGAAAGAAAAAACAAGTGAGAAACTCCTTTGAGCCAAAAAAAAAAAAAACAATTATTTAGTAAGACTGTAATTTTTAAGAATAATTCTATATGACGGTAAATATTTGGAGGGGAGGGGGGAAAGAAGAAGAAGAAGAAGAAGAAGAAAGAAGAAGAACAAATTAAAGTTATATAAAAACAAGATCTAATTTTATTATGCATAAACACTTATATGTTTTGCATAAATTATAGGGGTGTGGGTTTCAAAATGATACTTTTTAAATTATAATTATCCTTTGAGCACTCATGAAAAGAATATGTATGATTAAATTTTTTTTAAAAACCGCTGTGCACTTTTTAATCGTTCAAAAGATTAGATAAATTTAGATATATTTACTGCCGATTTAAAAAAAAAAAAAAAAAAAAAAAAAAAAAAAAAAAAAAA